ACTAAATATCTTGTTTCTTTTGCAAAAGAACCATTTCCATATCCAAGAAGGACACTCACATTATTGCTCCCCACATGGGCGACAACGATATCTAGTCGAGTATCGTTGTTGAAATCACCAATAGCTACAGATTTTGGATTAGAGCCAACTGAATAGTTTGTTTCTTTTGCAAAAGAACCATTTCCATATCCAAGAAGGATACTCACATAATTGCTCCCATAATTGGCGACAACGATATCTAGTCGAGTATCGTTGTTGAAATCACCAACAGCTACAGATGATGGATAAGAGCCAACTGAATATCTTGTTTCTTTTGCAAAAGAACCATTTCCATATCCAAGAAGGACACTCACATCACTGCTCTCAGAATTGACGACAACGATATCTAGTCGAGTGTCATTGTTGAAATCACCAACAGCTACAGATTGTGGATCATAGCCAACTGAGTATCTTGTTTCTTTTGCAAAAGAATCATTCCCATATCCAAGAAGGACACTCACATCATTGCTACGCCAATTGGCGACAACAATATCTGGTCGAGTGTCATTGTTGAAATCACCAGCAGCTACCGATTGTGGATAAGAGCCAGTTGGATAGTTTGTTTGATTTAAGAAACCTTCATATTGACCAAGGAGAATATTTATACTACCAGTATCATTGTTTACGACGACGATGTCTAATCGATGATCTTTGTTAAGATCACCTATGGCAACTGAAATCGAAGAATAAGATCCAGTTGAATACATGATTACATTTTCAAAATTGCCATTTCCATATCCAAGAAGTACACCTATATTTTCAATGCCGTTATTAGTGATGACGATGTCTAATCGATTATCTTTGTTAAAGTCTCCGACACCAATCGCATATGGAGAAGCAGAACCGCTGGAATAGTTCGTTTGATTAGCGAAAGTTGTATTGCCGTTGTTGATAAGCACACCTATTTGGTGAGTTCCAGAGTTCGCGATAGCTATGTCGAGAAAGTTGTCGGCATTGAAATACCCGACCGCAATTGAATATGGATGAGAACCAACACCAGTTGAAAACATGATTTGTTTTTCAAAAGTTCTGTTGCTATTTCCAAAAAGTACACCAACATTATTCGTTCCATAATTAGCGATGGCAATATCTAAATAGTTGTCGTTATTGAAATCTCCAGCAGCTAATGAAGATGGAAGAGAATCATAACCTGTTGAATACGTAATTGGAGGTGAAAAGTTTCCATGACCATAGGCATAAAATATACTAATACTGTGAGTTCCGTAATTGGCAGTGGCAATGTCCAGTAGTGAGTCATTGTTGAAATCAACGGCAATAATTGCTATTGGACGAGATGAGCCTGTTGAAAACTCTATTTGACTTGAGAAAGATCCATTCCCAAATCCATGAAAGATACCTATATTGTTAGTACCGAAATTCGCTACTGCAATATCCAATCGGTTGTCATTATTGAAATCACCAACTGTGACCATATAAGGACTAGAGTAGGAACCTGTTGGATACATGGTTGGATCTTTAAAAGTACCATTACCATCACCCAAATAGACAGCTATTTTGTTCATTATATGATTGGCAATAGCCATATCCAAAACCGTGTCATTGTCGAAATCACCGATTGCGACAGATCGTGGACCATACTTATATTCAACTGGTTTTTGAGCTGTTGGTTTGAAATTGAGGCCACACTTTGGAACTAAACAATACGTTAAAGGCAATGTGATGATTGATTGTTTGCCGCAATGCAACTATCTTTCCTAGGTTATTTCGCATTATCAGGATTCTTATAATAGGCTGTCAGAAATTATCGTATGACTCTATGTAGAGTCAATTCAAAACTATCATCTTTCAAAAGAACTCTGCTTAGTTTCTGAGAATACAGATAGAGTTACATATGGAAATTCATCGACTGGACCATTTGTCTGTTCCCATCTTTTCATTTACTGTAGCATTCGTTCAAAAAATGTGCTGTGCCACATTGTTGCAGAATCAAATGTGCATCAAAACAGTTGTGTTCCGTAATGCTTTCAGTGATTCAATCAGTATTTTGGATTGGTAATTACAACAACAGACAAAATATAACGAATTCTACTACGAATACTTGAGAATAACAATGGACAAAATTCTGACGATAAAGAAGGGAATGTAAAGCTACTGGCTGACTAACCATGTATGAATACGACTTAGCATAGTTAGTGTATTTGTCAGTAGTTTCATCATATGGACAATGCATGTTCATCGATAGTTTTTGAGTGACAAGTGTGCAACTATTGATCTCTGTTCTTTTCTGTACAGTAAGCAATACATGACTTCTATCGATCTCTTTGATCATAAATAGTAATAAATATTCTTCTTAGTTTTTAGTTGGAGATCTTCTACTACAACTAAGTTTACTTCCTGGATAATTTATCTGATATCAGATTTAATAATACTCTTAAGATGTTGTGGAGACTACTCATTTTTATTATTGAGACATGCCGTTGATGATAAAATAGAAATGTACTGACTATCTGTTCATTTTGTGAAGATAGTCGACTACTAATCATCTATGAGTCAGATACAATTATTATTTTATAATGTATGTACACAGTTTTATTGTTCCAAAGGGTGGTAACGGAAAGAGTTCACCGGAATGTAATAAAGAAATGAGAGCTCACTGAAGAATACAACACAGAACACACGTAAGTCATACAGAAGCACAAAAAAAACGATTGTATCGGGACATAATAGCAGAATGGAAGAAGATCTAGATGGAATACATATACTACTTACTCTTCTCTACAGGCAACATAATCTGAGAAAATATAAAGAAGATGTGTTCCATAGAGAAGAAATATTTACTTTCGTCAAGTTCTATGAGAAAATCACTTGTATTTTCTCTTATTCTTTCGCATTTCTATTATATCGAAGAACATCTCGATCGGATAGAGAAAAAGAAATCCAGGATAAACTGCTGTTTTCCTTTAGAGATGTGAAAGAGTGCCACCAAGAATAATAAAAGAAGCGATTCAAGAATATCGAATAAGATAAAGTTAATCTTTCTACAACAAGTAACAATGTGGAACACTAGTTTGTAAAAAAAATCAGATCGTGAAATTATTTCTTTATTAAGATATGAAAAATAATTTATAGAAAACGCAATAATCTTCATCCTAGAGAAACTTATTATCCTTGCTTCTCTACAACAAAGCGACAATGGGATGATTCTTTCTGGAACTCTTTTCTAATCTATAATCCCCAACAATAAGTAAAATAGACGAGTTCGAATTATAGACAAACTATCAGATCTACTAATAATGACAGTCTTCGTTGGGTCGCATCCGTCAATGCTAATTTGAAAAGGAAAACTGAAGCAGTTGTAATGCTCATAATTCTATCCTCGCTGGATGATTTGCTTCGAACATGTCGGCATCAAATATTATTACAATTTGAGTTCTTTTAACCAAAACTCACAATACTGATAAAAGAAAACCAATTTACCTGAGGATTTTTATGCTATTGAATACGAAGAATGTAAAACAACAAGGACATACCTGGTACTTTTGGTGCAGTTAAACAAACTATCACTATACCGATAATCGTAACTATGCTTGTAATTGTAGGCAGTACAAAGACAGGTTTGTGTGTGAAACCCAACATTATCCACCAAAAAAATTTTCTAGAAAAGAGCAACAACAACAATGATACTTGACATCAAAAGAAAAAGTCTTACATATTCTGTCGAATCGTGTAATTTTTTATTCGAGCGATGGTATTGTTCTGAACGTTTCTTGCATTTTGCTCATTTGAAATTGATCTCGGCTCCTCGTTTGCATCGACGACAACACTGTTCTTACGAAACGAGTAGTTGACCAATTTAACGTTATTATCCATAGAAACCATTTCAAGCTACGATAAAACAATAGTTAAGGAAGAACACATACATGATATCAGAATATAAATATATCTCTAACCATGCAGAGTTTCTACAGAAAACTGTCAATGCAATAACTTTGCCTAATTCATTCAGTCGATTTGCGTATAAGCGAATAACTTTTCTATGCAATCTCAACGATTTTTCAACTATTGAATAACTATGTTTGATATGCTAAGGAGACTGCACAAGATTTTTGGTGATAAACTTATACCCGATCAAAACACTTGCGTGAATACTGCAGCATATTAAAACGATTATCAAAGCTACTGCTTTGAATGCTTATTTAACCCTGAAACGCCCACCTGGGGTCCGTGCGGACCCCAACTGGTTTCATTCTAATGTTTTACATCTATAATCGTAGATCATAAAACACCTCTCTAGATATGCTCTAGTGAAGACTAGTAGAGTATATCATTGACAGCATTCGCTTATCATCATTGATTGTTCATGACATAAATTATCCCAAAGTACAAATATACGCTTATTGCCCACCTGGGGTCCATCCGGACCCCATAGTATAACATTAGTTTTTGCTTTTTATTTGATTATGACTTTTTATTTTCATATTGTATATCATTTTCTCGCTCTTGTGAGGGTATGCCAGAGCTGTCAAATAAATTGAAAAGCATGTTAATGGCTTTAGGACGTTGTATTCTGTATATTTGAGTACTCCTACAGGTTTTCTGTTAGTTTTCAGATAATTTTGTTTCACATATAGAAAGTTGTCTTTTTCATCGAAAGTACTTTTGCATAGTAATCTTATATACACATCTTTTCTTTCTTTCTGCTATTGCGATGACGTCACGATATATACATGTTCCATCTATATTTTATTTCGTTCTACCATTATACGTGATTGCATATATCATTTCTCTAGTATGTTCAAGTACATCTATTTTCTTTCTCGTTCTTTCTACATAGATGACATGTACTCTCTTTTGAATCTTCTCGTAATTTCTTTTTTTTTCTATTATGCTCTACGGAATTCTTTCTTATTCTTCGCAAAAACATATATATATACCTCTTGCTCAAAGCAATAAAATCACTATATTTTTTTGCATCGCTAACGACTATTATCAACACACGTATGGATAAAAGAAAACGCTCTAACTTCAATCAATCTAAATATTGGCTCGACGACTCGGAACATTTCGATGACAAGTCCAGCGACGAAGATACTAATGTAAATCATGATTCTGAAGATGCGGAAATACCTTCTACTCTTCAAGGTACTTCTGATGAATCAGATGATGGTACGGTCGAAAAGGATTCAGGTGATGAATCCGATGAAAATAGTGTTGATACCGAAAGTATGAGTGACGAGGAACCACCTAGACGTCGAGCAAAACGTAAACCACAAGTTAAACCAACACCGGTTAAAATATGTTCTTCAAAATCTGGTCGACAATGGACATCGAAAGAACCTCACAAGAAAAAAGTTCCAATTGCTAATATATTGCGACAGCGAACTGGTGTTGGTCGACCAGCAGCAGATATACAAACTCTGAAAGAAGCATTTCAACTTCTGATCACTCAGGAAATGGTTCTTCTTTTGGTCAAAGAAACCAACCGACGAGCACATCTACTCTTGGAACGATGGAGTGAAGAAAACCCTGATGAAAAAAGTCAATGGAGGGACACAGATCTTGAAGAAATGTGGGCTTTCATTGGGCTATTGCTCCTCGCAGGTGTTCATCGAGCAAAAAATGAAACTCTAGATGAACTATGGTCAATGACCAATGGACGACCAATATTTCGAGCAACCATGAGCAAGAACCGTTTCAAAAGCTTGCTGCAATTTTGCCGATTTGACAATACAACGACGAGAGAGGAAAGATTGAAGGTGGATAAACTAGCAGCAATAAGAGATTTATGGACAATGTTCTTAGCTCGCCTACAAATATGCTACATGCCTGGTGGATCACTCACCGTCGACGAACAGCTAATACCAACTCGTGGTCGATGCAATTTTCGTCAATATATACCTAGTAAACCAGGAAAATATGGGGTGAAGATCTTCTGGTGTTGTGACTCAGATACAGCATATCCTTTGAATGCTGAAGTTTATTTGGGACGTCAACCTGGAGCACCAACTGCAGCTAAAGATAAAGATCGAATTCGTAACCTAGTAAAACAGTTGATCCATCCTTGGATCAATACAGGACGGACAATTACCACGGATAACTATTTTACTAGCGCAGAGTTGTCGGAAGATCTTCTAGGTGTTCAAACGACTTTGGTTGGAACTATTCAACGAAATAAGAAGGAAATTCCACGAGAGCTGCAGCCTGATACCCATCGTCCTGAACAATCATCGATATTTTGTTTTGATCGTCAGCTAACGTTAGTTAGCTATGTACCTAAGAAAGCACATGCTGTGATTTTGTTATCATCTCTTCATCATGATCAAACAATTGTCGATGAGAAAAAGAAAAAACCAGAAATTATTTTATATTACAACAATACAAAAGGTGGGGTCGATCGAATGGATCAGATGGTTCAGACATATTCATGTAAACGAAAAACAAAACGATGGCCAATGACTTTCTTCTTCAACATAATTGATGTTGGTGCTCTTGCTGCTTGCATCGTTTGGTTAACTAAAAATCCTCAATGGAATGAGAAGAAATGCTATCGTCGACGTATATTTCTAATGGAATTAGGTTATGATCTCATTCAATCTCATTTGGAACGACGACAACATCAGCCACAAGCCCTTCAAAAACGCGTTCGAATAGCTATGCAAGCAATTGGACTAACTGTTGCTACTTCACAACCGAATACAGTTTCAACAGACACTGCAAAGCAGCGTTGTCATCTTTGTCCGCGAGAGCGCGATCGGAAAGTTGTTACTCATTGTTCAAGTTGTAATATTCCCTGTTGTCCTGATCATCATAAAGTTATTTGCACTGTGTGTAGCGAAACATTTTTAAGATAAAAAGGATTTATAAAAAAAAGTTTTAGAAATAAAATATAAAATACCTAAATATAGTTTCTTTTTTATAAGATAATAATCGTATAACACGCAAAACTTATGCCACATAGTGCTATCATAGTATACTATTTACAGCGTCTGTTGTATCTATCTTATCGGCTTGGGGTCCGTGCGGACCCCAGGTGAGCAATAAGTAGTAGTTTTACAGGTGGGCGGATGAGGGTTAATCAGCTGACACCTATTTAGTTTTTGTTGATTTCTGTCAAAACTAGTACACATTATTTTTTTCTGTTTTCAATTCTCTTCGACGGATACTTCCAGATGTAAGATCTTAAACATGTTTTCTAGTCATATTTTTTAAAACAGTCGGTAACGTAATTTCAGACCCGTCGAACCTTGATCAAGGCGCCACAATCATCATTTTTAGGATTGTGACTTGAACAAGTAAAAATATTCTAAAGTTTCTACATGTAAAAGGCACATCAAAGTTATTTGGTTCTCTTTTCAACGTTAAAAAAAACAAGTAATCGAAATGCGTCACACTCCAAACTCATCTTTTTCTTTTGAATTAGTTTTGAGAAAAAATATATTGAAGCAGAATATCAATATATTCCATGCAAGTCATTTCCAGTTTTGTGTATGTTCCTACATGTATAGGCGAAATACATTTGTTCAACATCAGAAGATTGTGAACTGACAATTTTTCGATGAAACTATATCTCAATGAGATGAAATGGTCTAACACAATTTATGTTTCTCCACTTCTCTTCTTTAATTATGGTTATTTTGGATACACTGTTCAATGACACTAAGGTAGCAGTAAAATTAAATGATCGAGTTTATAGTTGCAATAATATCTGTAAATAGACATCAATGATAACGGTTAGCTAGAAAAATGTAAGTCATATAAATTGGCACATCGAGAGAAACGAGACGATCACCTTCAAACATAAGTAAAAATTCTGTGAGCGTAGTCGCTATTTTTCAACTGACATCAAAAAAATTTGTGAAGTATCACCAAGAAGCAGCTAGATTTGTTATCACTTCTCGTCTTCCTCGAGTATTGCTGTTTGCAACATCTACTCTCAGATATTAATTCATTAGTAGCCATGTACAATATGATTTGGACGTGCAAAAAGTGTGCGAGATCATCGAAGATGGCTTATTTTGAACTATTGCATGCATAGAAATTATTACTCAGTTAGTTTTTGAAATGCTAATACACAATGATTCAGAGAACTATAATCGATGCTGCGAGTAACATCTATAGTTTACCGATCATGTCACCGAATGCAAGTGACAAACATTGCATAAAGTGTGGCACGTCAAAAACATCTCATCACTTAACTTTTTCTGGATTTGCGCAATAACTTGTGTCTCCACTATAGATATGATTCGAGATGGTCTCAAAATATTGCTTTCGTCATATTCTCAGCAAACCTCGATTGACAATATATCAGTTTATTTCTACCTGTTTCGTCACATCTTCGGAAAATCTTATGTTTTTATCAAATCGACGATTTCGCTGTCTTTTTTTTGCTGCAGTCTTTCTATTATCTAACTCTACAGCCACAGCATTTTTGGATGGTTCTTTCAAAGAGCTCATTCTCACCAACGAAAACGCAGTTTGCTTTTGTTTTTCAAGAATCTTCCAATTATGTATGTAGTTCATGACTTCTTACGGTGTTTTGAGATAGTTCACATATCATTCGGTCCTTTAAGTTCAGTTTTATGTTAAGCTTATAAATATGACTGATTGAAATTTCTTCGTGTGATGTCACGTCATGAATAGAATTTGCTGTTATCCAACTGTTGGACGAATATTTTTTCCTTCATTTTTGTGAAATAGAAGCATGCAAGTGTCTCCTTTTTGGCTTCTAAATTTATTTGCATTTACGGTGAGTACTAGACTTATGCCTTCAGAAAAGTTCTGTTCGATTTATCTTTATTAGCCTTAACAAAAAAACCTTCAGATTTTACTTCATGCTATGTCGGAAGTACATCTATTGAGAAGGTCAGTTTTTGCTTCAACAGTAGATCTCAAGTTAGGATCATAGAAAAATATTGTGAAGTGCTCTATAGTTCATCTTATCGTATTGATCTGTTTCTGTTTCACAGGGTATCACAAAAGTTCGTTTGAAAAAGAAACTTGAATATTTCTTTAATACATAGTTTAAGCGATTTTCGTGAGCTGCGTATAGTTTCATTCTATATTCATTGAAGTTTGATTTCATGTAAAATTTGTCTTTAATAGATGTACAAAATAACTATTTACAAATGTAATACACATAACTATGATTTTAGAAAAAGTATATAAAAACATCATATAAAATTTATTTCGGTCTCAATATTCCCGTGTCATCAATTTTCCATGAAAACCGCCGGTTGATCGCGGTTCTTTAAAAAACTGACAGTTCGAACAGTGTTCTCATTTTTTATCAATTTTTCAAAAATTTTACTGATAAATTATCATTTTCAATCTTGAAAAACTTGATTGCAAATCAAAAAAGTCCATATTAATGCACTACGGGAAGTTATGTCAGATAACGTCAATAATTTTTTCTAGTGATTACGTCATCTAACGAATAGCTATTCTTTTGGCACTATCTTCAATAAACGTCAAACTCGAAAACTAAGCAAATGTAGCTGGTGTAGCTAGTATCGGTGACTTCAACGCGCTCACATTAAGAGGAGAACGTGATTCCGACTAAAGCCTAACTATTTCGTAAGAGTTTGAACAATTATACACGAGATCCGTAGTTAGTCGTCAGTTTTCGACCGATTTGAACGACATGGATAATTCTATTCTTTAGCTTACCGAAATATTTATCAGACGTCAAAAATCAATGAAACTATTGAAATTATTATGCAATCTTGAAAAAGCAACGTTCCTAGTGAGATACTAGAGAATCGAATAGGCGCACTATATTTCATGGAAGCCTTATTAATAGAGAAGAATATTTTACTATGTTTTAGGTCTATTTTTAGTCTAGAAAGGAGAAATTTAGTCTAAAAAGACTCTATTTTATTTGACAGAGATGGAATTTCTCCACCCTGTAGCCTCAAAGTCGGTCAGTTTCTGAAGAACATTTCTCTAATCAAGCTCAATAGAAGAGACAATCAACATCAACAAACATCATGATCAGCTGAAGTGATACTAGTCCATGTTTTCTATATAAACAAGTGGACAACATTTGTTACAAGCTATCGGCCACAGATCCAGTTCAGATGAAAAATAAAATCAATAATAAGATCGAAATAAATTTTATATGATATTTTTATATATTTTTTCTAAAACGCTAATGAATATAGAGTGAAACTATAGAAGGCTCACGAAAATCGTTCAAACTATTAAAGAAATATTCAAGTTTCTTTTTCGATCGAACTTTTGAGACACTGTATATATTGACAGGATCGGTTAAAAAAAGCGTAGCATCTCAAAAGAGATACTTTTTAATTAAACATATAGCTATTTAAAAAAGCTACAGCTATTTAAAAAAATCATAGATATTCTCAAAAGAGATACTTTTTGATTAAACATACAGCTATTTAAAAGGGGTACAACTATTTAAAAAAGTCATAGCTATTTAAAGTGTTTCGACTATTTAAACCACTACAGCTACCTAAAGTTTCCTATAGCTATTTAAAATTTCACACGGTTATTGGAATTACTATAGCTATTTTTTTTACTATGAATTTTAAAAAAAAGTCGCCTGAGTAAAATACATTCACTCTGACACAGACCACGATTATGGTACATACAACAGTTTGGTTCTTTGTAAAACTCTTTTTCGCTCTAGTTTCATGATCGAAATATTCTACTTTTTTTTTACAACCCTGCTCAATTATATAATTAAAAGATATATACGCTACATAATTTAAATGTATTTCCAAATCATAGTAAAATTATATAGTTTTTTCATTTTCATCGAACTCTGCTAATGACCTGATAAAGGAACATACAAGTAACTATATAGTTTAAAGAGATTTAAAAATGCTAGTAAAACCGTATAATGTTTTTTCATTAAACACTGCTCAATGACATGGTAAAAAAATATAAGCTAATAGATGATTCGAATACATTTAAAAAAGATAGCAAAGTCATATTTTTTTTTTCTATCAAACTCTGCTCAATCATCTAATAAACTAAATATACAAGCAACTATATAATTCAAATATATTTAAAAAGCGATACTAAAGGCATATATTTTTTCATTTTTTTCATCACATTCTGCTCAATGATATGATATAAAAAAATAGGAGCTAATAGATGATTTACGTACATGTGAAAAAAAATAATAAAATCATATAATTTTCTTTTTTGATCAAACGCTGCGGAATGATATGATACAAAAATACAAGCTAATAGAGGATTAGATGAATTTAAAAAAGATAGTAAAGTCATTTAATTTTTTTTTCATCAAACTCTGGTCAATCATCTAATAAACAAAATATACAAGTAACTATTTAATTCAAATATATCTAAAAAATGATAAGGAAATTATATATTTTTTCATTTTTTTTTCATCACATCCTGCTCAATGATACGATAAAGCAATACAAATAACTTTTTCATTTTTTTTTCATCTCATCACGCTCAATGATATGATAAAGAAATACAAATAACTATATATTTAAAAACTATTTAGAGATGATAGCAAACTATATCGTTACAGTATATTTAAAAATGCTAGTAAAATCGTGTAACGTTTTTTCATTAAACGCTGCTCAATAACATGATAAAAAGATATAAGCTAATAGATGACTTCAATACATTTAAAAAAGATAGAGTCATATAATTTTTTTTTTATCTATCAATAGAATAAATAGCTGAAGAAAAGTTTAAATAGTCATGAAAAAATTAAATAGCTATAGATGAAGATAAGAGATTGATTCTAAGATTAAATAGCTATAGAAGAATTAAATAGTTATATCAAAAGAATAAGTAGCTGAAGAAAAGTTTAAATAGTCATGGAAAAATTAAATAGCTACAGATGAAGGTA